ACACAATATTTTTTGTGCTTTTTCCTCATTTGATCTTTATTGTTTCCCTTTTTGCACCTCTGCTGTGCACTGTTAACCTGTTTTGACTATTAGTTTGTTGTTGACTAAAAATAGAGGAAAACCAAGGAGTAAAACAGACCATAATTTCATTGGAAAGCTACTGGTATAGAATTTTGCAAAGCTGTGGTATGTGACTAGGCTCCTTTAAGTATGGACTTTAAAGGTATAGAGGATGATCTTTTATTTCCAGGTGGATCAAGACCTTATTGTCAATCATTCTAGCGATATGTTTACGTAAGGTCGTTCTATGTGCTCGCCGCTGTCTTTTTGTGAGCATGCACACTTTCAGCCGCCTATGTGTGGTGAGCTATGGTTTCAGACAGTCATTGAAGCTCACCTTTCTCAGTGCGGTTCTTTGAAAATGGCCGAGGGTTGTAAGAGAAAAAGTGTCTGAAGTGTATGAGAAGAACAGAAAGGCCTCAAAAGAGGCAGATATAACCCAGAATGCTTTGGGCAGAGAGCTCTCCTCACAAAACATTATGCGATTTGCTTTCGCTACCCGACAGTGGCAACTAATAACAAAGATGGCGAATGCAACACGCGGGGGAGGAGTTACATGACCAACGGGGAGCAAAACGCAGTTTGCTGAGTTCACTATATAGTTCATATATATGTGGCCAAAGTAAACTTTTATGAGCTATGAGAACACATTTTAAGCAGGGTGTGCACGAAGAGAAATGGGCTTGTGCACGCACACTTTGCACGGGCATTTTCTTTAAAGTGGAGATTGGTAAAAAATTGTCTAAAATACCTTTAACTAGGCCACTCTATCTCTTCCTTTTTTTAAAATCCTTTTATCCAGAGATGGGATGAAAAGCCTCTGGAATCATCAAGATTTTTTTACAAACATGAGACAGGCATAGGATTCTTCCAAGGATAACATTTTATGCCCCGTTTGTTACTGTTATATTATTGGCACCGACATCAACAGAGGCGAACAAGCCCTTCCATACTTTATATGGTGTTCACAGTTCTTATTTGGCTTCCTTGACGAGTTGCTGATATGCAACTGAGTAATTATGATAGACTGGCCACAGCTGAGAAAGTTCTGAACCTGTTCTGTTTATGGATAAAGTCTGACTGGTTCAGCAGAATACCAGCAGAATTGGCTCTGTAAACCCTGACTTTTTTTTTTGTAACCTGTCCTATTTCTGTTGGGTCATGATGTTTGCTAGTGGGGATCTTAAAGCATATGCTTGTTGTCATACAGGATCTATTAAGCTGATTTCATGATTCTACTATTCTGTCAGTAGATAGGTCAGGAACTGGATTATTGAACTGAACGAAAAACTGAAAATTCATGATTTTATTCACGTAAAGCAGGTTTCTTAGAATGCTTTTGTTCTCTAAAAGCATTCTGTGTTCTTTCAAACTGCTTTAAAAAAAATTCTGTAAATTTTATTTTGAGATCAAAAAAGTTGTTCCACTCACAGACATGTATTTTTAAAAAATTTTGATGCTCGGATAAAAGTGTGGCACCCCTCATTTAATAAAAGAAACCCTCAATGGTCACCAAAATAACTTAAATCTGATAAAAGTGTTAATACATAAAAGTTCTATGAAAATCAACAAATAAAAGCCATACATTGCTTTTAACCAAGGGGCGTTAGAAGGTGTAATAAAATAAACACATTAAAACATCCCTGGACAATATTGATAATAAATTATGGTAAACCTAGACAAAAAAATGAAAATAATGCAACCAAAGGGACATGCTAAATTAAGGAATATCCATTAATTAGCATCACAGATGTCTACAATCTTGTAATCAGTCAGTGGGCCAATTTATATGGCTACAGGTAGTCACTGTGCTGTTTGGTGACATGGTGTGTTCCACTCTCAACATGGACCAGAAGACGCGAGGGAAAGAATTGTCCAGGAGATGAGAAATAAAAGTTACAGACAAGCATTATAAAGGTAAAAAATATCTGACCATCTCCAAACTGTGATACAGCTGCACATTTTATTCAGAAATCTAAGATTCATGAGACTGTTGCCAACCAGGAGGAAAACTGATGACAAATCCAAGAGATGGATAAAACTCATGGTAAGAAAAGAGATTGAAGGTGAACTTCAAACCCAAGGAACAGTGTCAGATCACAACATCAGTCGTTTGAGCCAAAGTGGATTTAATGGGAGACGAACAAAGAGCACAGTATTGTAAAAAATGAAGAAAAAAAAGCCAGACTGGTATTTGGAAAACCACACGCCACAAAACTTCTGTGGGAATGTCCTACATACAGATGAGACAGAAATTGAACTTTTTGCCAAGGAACATTAGCTCTATGTTCAGAGATATGGTCCCCACGGTCAGAAAGCCTGGTCTTAGTTGCAGGTCATGGGGCTTCAACAGGATAATGCCCCAAAACACACAGCAAAAAACAACAAAGAATGGCTAAGAGGAAAACGTTGGAATATTCTTAGGGGGCCTTCGATGAGCCCTGACCTAAATCCTATTTAGTATCTAGGGCTGAAATAAAAAGAAGTGGGTCAAAATACCTGCTGAGAGGAGCAGAAGTCTCATTGACAGTTCCAGGAATTGTTTAATTGCAGTTATTGCTTCAGAAATTTGTGCAACACATATTAAATTAAGGGTACCCTCTTTTTTTGTCAAGGCCTATTTCATAAGTTTATTACGGTATTTAAAATCATTCTATTGAAGCATGACTGAAAAGCAATGTCTCTCTTTTATTGGGTCATATCAATCATTTTTGTATTTATTACTTTTCCTAGATAGTTTTACCAAAACTACTGACACCATTTCCATTGGCCTCTTCAAGTGCATGCACAACTAATATAAATATTCAAAACTATTTTTTTTTTTTTTACATAATTGAGTAACAGTAGAAGCTCTCATTAACACTTCAGATGCTTTACAGGTCAGCTTTGATCTTGAATATTCCAATTCTGTTTGCACACTCTCTCCAGTGCATTTATTAATGAATACAGTTAATCCTTCACAAGAGAGGCAAAGATGAACTTAACTGGGAGGGGAATCTGGGTTATTATATAGGTTTAAATGGTTGTTGATTTGTCCCTTGTATAACCAACAAGTTGCCAAATATGCTTTACACATTCAATATAAAAAATATAAAATACAAAGTGAAAGCAGTAGTATAGTTTTAAAAAGTGGAAGATTTTTTTTTAGGGTTTGTCAGGCGGGCAACATCTTTATGCTGAGGAGAATACGATACAGTCATATAAAAAAGTTTGGGCACCCCTATTAATCCAATTATTTTTATTTCTAAATATTTGGGTGTTTTCTACAGAGTTTTTTTTTATATCTAATAACTGTTGGACACATATTTCAGTGTTGAAGTAAAAAGAAAATGTGCAATATGCACTAAAACAAAACTTGACAGGTGCAAAAATGTAGGTACCCTAATCATTTTATTAATCTGAATACCCTTAAATACTTTTCACTGACTTACTGAAACACTAAATTGGTTTGGCAACTTCATTAATATTTGACCTTCATAGCTAGGCCTATCCAATCATGAAAAAAATTTGTTTAAGGTGGCCTGTTGCAAGTTGTTCTCCTGTTTGAATCTCCTCTGAAGATTCATCATGGGCACCTCAAAAAAACTCTCAAATGATCTGAAAACAAAGATTGTTCAACATAGTAGTTAAGGGGAAGGATATAAAAAGTTATCTTAGAGATTTAAACTGTCAGTTTCCACTGTGAGAAACATAGTAAGGAAATGGAAAACCACAGAATGGATGTTTAGCCCAGAAGCGGCAGGCCAAGAAAAAATATTAGAGAGGCAGAGAAGAAGAATGGTGAGAATGGTGAAGGACAACCCACAGACCACCTCCAAAGACCTGCAGCATCATCTTGCTGCAGATGGTGTCACTGTGGGTCGTTCAACAGTTCAGCGCACTTTGCACCAGTATGGGAGAGTGATGCAGAAGCCTTTTCTGCAAGCACGCCACAAACAGAATCGCTTGAGGTATGCAAAAGCACATTTGGACAAGCCAGCTTCATTTTGGAATAAGGTCCTATGGACTCATGAAACAAAGATTGAGTTGTTTGGTCATAAAAAGGCTTTATGCATGGCGGCAAAAAAACACAGCGTTCCAAGAAAAACACTTGCTACCCGCCGTAAAATTTGGTGGAGGTTCCATCATGCTTTGGGGCTGTGTTGCCAATGCTGGCACTTGGAATCTTGTTAAAGTTGAGGGTTGCATGGATTCCATTCAATATCAGCAGATTCTTGAGAATAATGTTCAAGAATCACTTACGAAGTTGAAGTTAAGCCGGGAATGGATATTTCAGCAAGACAATGATCCAAAACACAGCTCCAAATTTACTCAGGCATTCATGCAGAGGAACAATTACAATGTTCTTGAATAGCCATCCCAATCCCCATTGAACATCTGTGATGATTTGAAGCAGGCTGTAGATGCTCTGCAACCATCTAACTTAACTAAACTGGAATTGTTTTGCAAAGAAGAGTGGTCAAAATCCCTTCAGCCAGGATCCAGGAACTCATTAAAAGCTACAGAAAGCGGCTAGAGGCTGTTGTTTTTGCAAAAGAAGAATCTACTAATTATAAATGTCTCTTTTTTTCTTAGGTGGCCATATTTTTGCATCTGTCAAATTTTGTTTCAATGCATACTGCACGTTTTTTGTTAGTCCAATAAACCTCAATACTGAAATATGACTGTCCATCAGTTATTAGATATATCAAACTGAAATAGCTGTTGCAAACACCCAAATATTTAGAAATGAAAATATTTAAGATTAATAGGGGTGCCCAAACTTTTTCATATGACTGTATAATCTTTCCAAAAATGCATTATCTATCACTTATAGTACAAAAATTTGCTATCAAAAGATGTAATTGTTTAAATCATTCGAGTCGGTTCAATCAAAGACTACATTTTCTAGTATTTCTTTTATCAAGCATCATGTAGTCAAGCCATTTTCAGACCACATGTAAAGAAAAGGCAATGTTTTATTTGCTTTTACAACTTTAGGAAAACCCCCCACAAATATTTACATTTAAAAATACTTTTTATCATCCGCTTCTAGATGGGGAATGTAAAACACACACAGCAGAGACATGCAAAGGGATTTACTGACTTCGGCACCGCCCCCTAGCGGGCTCCAGATGACTTACAGCAGAACAGAAAAAGGTAGCAACAAGGCGCACAGACATCATGACATCACAAATATAGATATGGTACAATAAAAAGCAAGAATACACAAAATATTACATATGCAATGGAAAAGAAGGTAATTATGACTGACTAAGACAGGTTACATATTGTATAATTTGATAGCTGTAGATGTATTGTTGTAAAGAGTGGTTCTAACAAATACATGGTCTAACATATACATTCAGACTTTATTGTGTAATGTGACAAAGTATTCTGGTACCTCATGAAAGCAGTTTAGCTTATCCTCTTCAGTTTTAGGGTGCAAACATAAATTGTTGGATCAACAGATACTTGAAATTTTGTTGAGGCAAATTTAATATATTTTGGTTCAGTTTTTGGAATGTCTGGAAATGTATTCCTAATTATATTGTATATAATTTATCGTACTCTTTTAAACATTTGGGTGGAGTCTGTGTTTTTGTAGGAAATCTAAGTGTCAGACTCGGTTTTGGACGGGAGATTTTGTCACAGACTGCTGTAGATCCTCTTTATGGTGTCGCCCTCGTCTTTGGCGATGATTCCTTTCTCGATGTAGGAGTCGACTTGCTGGTCCATGAAATCCTTCAGCTTGGACAGGTCATAATCTAGAGGGACAAGAAATAGCAAATCAGGGCGGTTTATAATCCGCAGTTCAAAGCAGGATCATTAAGGATGTTATCGTCAGCTGAACCCCGGAGATGCTACACCCAAACAAGCTTCAAAGAGGATTAGGGTCAAAGGACGTTTGTCTGATGCCTAGATTTGCAGTCATGTAATAAGTAGTTAATTCAGCAACATGATCTCCAAGTTAGATTTTTGAAATTGGAATACAGTTGTACTGTTATCAAAATCAGCCAATGCCAGTTATTTGAGACAGTGGAGGTAATTGTAGAATAAACCAGGAAAAGGTCGGTGCACACAAAACACGGCTTAAGGTTAAGCTTTTTGATCAATGACACTTCAGGGAGATTTGAAGGGAAAACAAAGGATGCTTGTGCACAAAAGCGGCTCATGACCACTTCAAAATGTCATGGCTGAGCAATATCATGTATTCCAAAACATCAGCTCTTTTTTCCCCAAAATGGGTCCTTATTGGCTGTTTTAACAGGGCAGGGATTCAAAGTATGAAATGAAATCAATGGTTCTTCTAAAACCAACCTTCCTCTGTTGCTATCACAGTCCTCAGGCATTAATAGCGTAGTAAAGTTATTGTACGGATAAGTTGAAGATTAAAGAACCTTGACTGAAAGAATTATCTACAGAAATCGTGCAAGAGGAAAGGTCAAACTTGTCATAAAAAGAAATGTACAAAAACAACAATATATCAACAAATACTTAAATAAAAGTAAATTTTTCTGAATTCTTCGGCAAAAAAAGATATTTGTGTATATATATGTACGTAGAATGGACAGAGGCCAATAGGTACTAGGGCCCTTGTCAAGAAATAATACCAAATAGATTGATGATAAATAACTGATGATATATGCTGGCACACTAATTGTAAGTGATAGGTCTTTTGCAACAGTTTTATTCTTTATTTGTTATAGTTATATTTTAACAATGATGGAAAAGTTAAATTGTTGCACTTTTAGCTTAAGTTACTGAGATATAATCCCAGTTTTAATATGCTATATCTGAGCTTTCCAGAGCTGAGATTTCAAACAATGAACCACTGAGGTGTTTTTTCTTTCACTCCTTCGTTTGGTGCCCCTATGAAAACAAACTCCCCCCCAGGTAAGTTTCTGAGGTGAGCCAACATGTTTTTCCACATCTGTACATCCTTTCCAAATGGATTAAACACAATTAAAAATTAATTTGTATTCATCTTGTTTCAGAAGACCTGCTATACTTACACAGAGAAAAAAAAAACATAACAAGATCATATGAATAATGAGCAGAGTCATAATTGTCATAATACAAAATGGTTACAAATGAGTTGCAGGCTGCTGCACGGCCTTTCCCAGCTCTAACTGTCTCCAACTGAAGTGGCAGCAGACGGGTAGAGGACGGTAAAAAGATCTCCCCGCTTTGACCTCACAACATTTGCAGAGGGGTGGGTCGTCCCAGCGCCTCAGGGTTTGAAGTCACTTTGCTGGTGACAGTCGTGCAAAAGATTAACAGAACGTGATTAGAGACCACGTCTCTCCTCAGTGCCAGGACCGTAAAAAGCCAAGAGGCAAAAGCCAGGATGTTGCCTACGTGTGTCCATCTGCTTCTCTGGCTAATCTTTGTAGAGTGTGGGCGTAGGCACACGCACATGCACTTACATGAACTCATTAACACACGCACACACACACAAATAGGCTGCTGAGATTGTCCTAATGGATGCTGTTGGTAGAGTAAACACAATAAATGGCTAGTATCCCACTCTGTTTCTATGGCACTGTCTTCAGTCGGAAAGGCTTTAGTTCTCTCCTAAAAAAAGAACAAGGATGACGGCTTCAAAAGGATTGTAACTTGGTTCAAAATGAGCTTCAAACAGACACCCTGATGCTTTTTTATTTTGGTCCTAAATGGAGCCTGATCATGGGAAAATTGGGGTGATTGAACACATTTTGTCTGTCAGCCTCTCCTTACACCATTATCTTTGTGCCTCTGTTTACTGGCAGGAAGGAGGGGATCCCCCAGTTGTCCGGGACAACCGTTGCTACCCCTGAATGCTAATGAAGTGTCCTATCTGGGACAAGGTTAGAGATGAGCCCCTAACAAAACATCCCTGCTGCTCTGTCCCCTAACTCCCCTCTCCTGCTCTGCATCACATTCTTAATTTTCTTGTTGTTTTATTCCCTAATCTTCTGTTTTTAGGAGGTAAGACAACATCAAAATGTGTTTTTCTCTATAATCCCTCTGTCTTAACCTTCATCCTGAGCTCAGATCAGATCAACATGAATAAAATAAACTTTACAGATAAATCTCACTCAGCTTGAACTCTTGTTTTTTTTTGTCTGGGATATCCAGCTGAGATCATCTACCACACATAGATCTGGATGGTGAGAACCCATTAGAAATTCATTCCCTTCTCAAGCATCCCTGGGCAATGATTTTAGCAACATCCGACTGTATCAGTCCTCGTCAGTGAAGCTACAGAAGTTTTTTTCAAGCCTGCAGTATGCACCCTAACTTGTATTGAATAAGCACTCAGTGAAGGAAATTCAGGTTTTTATCACCAACCAGCACACAACCACCACAAATGAAAACAACCGGGTAAAAGGCGACCTTTGTAGATGAGCAAGCAGCTGTTTCAATTAGGACAGCATCATTAGAGATGATCCATATTGATATGCCACGCTCCTTTATAATGCAAATAGGGAATAACAAGGGTGGGCCACTTTTATTCCTCTCAGACGTGGCAGCTAATGAAATTTCCAAATAAGGAAATTTTTTAGTTTTTCTGTGATTTTTTTAAAAGAACTTTTGGGTAACCTGTACAGTAAGTATTTCAAAGCACAACATTAAGGATTGAGATCATGGTTGACTTTCCTGTAATGGAAAACGTCTCACCATTTTTGCCTTCTTCTTTGTTGTGCTTCTTCAGCCACTCAATATTCTTCCTGATAGCTTCCAGATAGGTTTCTGATTTGCCTGGCTGATCTGAAGTTTAGAGAGACAGAAAACAGAGAAGAAGAAATTAAATACTCTCATCAATAGGGCTCAATGATTCATTAAAAAAACAATAAGATTTAATAAAACACCATGTATTTTTCAAGGACCTTGATTTTATCAGCTAATAACACAGCCAAATAGTAGATTTATAAATACTTAATAACATGTGATAACATTTTCTATAAAACACCAGCAATGATTACATAATTGAAAGGGCCTTTATGTTTTAATCTAATATATACAGCTCTATTTTCCTAGTTTAAACAGAATAAATATGCATCAATATAGATGGTCTCATTTTTCTGCTGTAAAAACTAAAGAGGCCGTCTTAGTACAGCTTATGAAACCAGCCAATCAGATTTCTCCTCATTAATTGAGGAATCAGACATAATCAGTCTGCTGTATTTTGCTTTTTGTTTATCCTTTTCTTATTAGGTTTTAAAGTGGATTATATTGAGTACATGCAGTCAACCAGGACACGCAGTGACAGGCATTTCCGGAGTCTGTTATTGGACTGGCCTACTTCTGAGACAAGCAGGGGTTTAATTATGATTGGCTGAGCTGCAGGAGTGATGTTTATTTCCTAACAGTTCTGCTGTGGGGAAAACAAAAAGGCTCATCTGGTTTCCACTGCAATCAAGCCATTGTTGTGGGGACTGAATAAAATAATCTACTTAACTGAAGTGAAGTGGTGAGAATTAGTTGTATGTTTTGTAAATTGTGTGTTTATTTAAGAGATGGAGTACAAAAGAAAACCAAATCAGGATGTGACAAGAAAACAAAAACAATTAAAAAAAATGCAAATCAAAAAGGCCAGAAATGTGTATTAATGAGATAAGAAAAAAATAGCAAAAGGACTCTATGCTAGTCATCAGTCTTGTGGTCGTCTGGATTTCTTTGTGGACTGACTGGTTTCAGTGGACGGCTGCTCCTCTTTGGTCGAGTCCTTCAAGTTGTCGTACTCCCTCTGCATCTTCGCTGTCTCAGATTTGGTGTTGTCATCTTCATCCAAGCTTTTCCCTTAAACAAAGAATAAAAACACTAAATTTATTGTTTTTGTTCAGCTACTGGATATCTAGAACTGCAAAAACATCTAGAACTGAATCATTTTCCCTATGAGTTAGGAGCTAGCTGTGATTTTCTTGGATCTCACACAGTGCAATAGATTTCCTTTCTTTTTAACACCCCTCTCCTTATTGTGTGATAAAATCAACTGAGGTCATTATCCTGCCTTATTTAAGCCTCTATAAAATTATACTATATACATTTTTTAAACAATCTGAAAACAAAAAAATATTGTTTTGACAGTATGTTTAATCTTGGACCATTAACTTTTCTTTTGCTAGAAGATAAGCACAGATCTTAGGTGCAGCTACCAGTTGTCTTTTTTAACCATAAAGCCGAGAGATTAGAGTAAAACTTTCCAATATAATTTTTCTGAATTTTAATACATTCAGCTATAAAGTTTACCAGTAAAACTGGAAATGTCAGGAACCATGAGCGACTTTCCCAACTTGTTCTTTGTCTGCATGGCTATCATGGCGTCCAGGTTCTCTGCAGGTGGATGAAAGGAAACAATTTTTAATTTTAGATATCATCAGCGTTGTGCGGTCAGTCATTTCTCCTTAGAGACAATGAATGGACGCCTGTTGACGTCCGTTTCAGTGTCCCGCTCTGCTCCTGTGTGACTCAGAGCGATATTATCATGAGAAACAGCCTTGTTCTTATCAGTTGATTGCAGGTTCTGGAACATGAGGGTCATAAACATAACCTTGAGTTTTTTTTTTCCCTCACTCTCATATTCAGAGCTTTAATAAGCAATCTCAATTGTAATAAAAAAAAGCTTTATAGAAATAATTTATGTGTGGTTTAAAAATGTTTGCTGGACCTATTTAACATGTAAACAAGGTACTGTTTGTTTTCCTAATGTTTATATATCAGTAATTCATCATGTTATCCTCAGGATATGTCCTTTGTGTTACAGGGAGTTGGATTATTACATCTTCACAGAGGGATTATGAAACAAGGGAAAAAACAGATCATATGGCCTGACGGGGGAACAACTCCTCTCCGGATTAATAAAGGAGGGAAACATTATGATCGAAAATTCAAGCCACAGATGTTCTGGTGATATATGCAGTGAAGGATCAGCTGAAAATCACACCCTCTGTTGAATTCTCATTAGTCCTCTAATTCAGCATGCAAAAGCTTTGAATAAATAGTTAATAGCTATATTAAAGGCCTCTGGCTTTAAATGGCTGCAAGAACCCTTGAATTGTTTATTGATTTCCTCTTTATGTGCACAGTAATATCTGCTGGTTATAAAGTATTTATTCAGTTTTCCACCTCCCCTGGATTAGTTAACGTCCTTTTGGTTCGATAAATATTGTGTGATGTAACATATATATTTTTATTTCTGGGAGAGGAGAAACTACGGATACGGGAAGAGGTTTTTTATTTTTCTGAAGGCGTCCAGAACGGAAAGCAAGTTGGGCTTGTTGCTTTTTTTTTATTTTTTATTTACAACAGAGGGAAAACAGATAAATCACAGGGTTCTATGAGGCTTGACTTTTGTAATTTCCTTTTTTACTTTCTATTACCTAACCAGCCCACCTTCCTTTGCTCTATGGATACTGTCCACCTCCTCACACTCTTTCTTTTCATTTCTCCCTCACCCTATCTTGAAGCAAGAAGCATCACCCGCTGGTAGATTAGGGATGATTGACAGCCCTGCGTACGCAGGGGTGTACCTGGGTGACTCACTGGAATATCACAGCCAGTTCAGAGGTGGGGGAGAGAAGGGGTGTTGCTAGGAGATGGAGGAAAATCCATTCCTCCGTCTGGTTATAGATGGGACCATGAGAAGCTGAGGACAGGTTGCCAAGGAGACCCACATCTTTTCTAATAGTATATTATGGCTGCACAGTTGTAGTGTGTTGCAGCAGCAGCAATAGTTTTAGACAGTAATGGCCATCTGAAAAGGAATAAAATCATCTCTCTAAAACACTCCACACAGCAGGTGGACTGCATCGGTCGATAGCCTTGAAGTGTAATTTGTTATTATCTCATTTAAAAGTGGATACAGTAGGATTAAACTGAAAAACTAAAATAATTATAATATATTAATAGCTATACTGAACATATTTATAATATTCATCCAGGTAAGTTGTGTTGGCGTTAGTGTAGCTTAAATAGAAAACTGAACTAATTATTTAAAAGTCTCCCCAAAAGATAAAACTTTCTGGGGGTTTTACTTTCATTCTTTGCTCTTCATCATCTGATTTAATCTGAGAGCAAGATTACACAGCGAGAGGACTGGATGGGTTTGGGATTCATTGAGGCGGTCAGAGAGATGACTGCTCTGCTGCAAGTCTGAGGTGGTTGACCTTTCCATCGGCTACTGGTGCTCATAACCGAACCAGTCTGATCAGACTGGAAGCCCCATGACATTCATTACATGCCTTTGTAGGCTTTATAGTTCATGGTGTTAGCTTAGAGCGAACATTACACAAACAACGCACTATAAAACAAAAAAGACAACACGGACGTGCATAAAATACATGCAAACTAGAAGGATTAGAGTCTTAATCTGAAATCCTTCATCATACTGGAAACCTAAAAGCTGAAATCTGTGGCACAATAATTCGGTTCCAATGCCCATTTGCAAATAATCCCAAAGGTCTTAAGTTAAATCAAAATGCCAACAAAAAGGAAGAAAAACACCATCAAAGAGGTAACAGTATTGTTTGACTTACATATTTCAATTTAAAACAGACAGCCTGATTATTTTCTAAGACAAATGGAAAGGCAATTATACCAACTGGAATAGTTAACAGAAGTGTTTATCATCTCTAAATAAATCTCTGGAAACAATTTTAAATGCAACTCCAGAGAAATGAAAACATGTTAATAATGACTGTATGATCTGATTGAAGCGTCTCTGTAAAGTGCCTCGAGATGACATTGTGAATTGGTGCAATATAATTAAAATGAAATAAAAATTGAGCATGGCTAATGATATGTTGAATCACAATCCAATCAGTTTAAATGGGCTAAGAAAAAAATGTTTTGCTAATAATTTGTTAGAAAAGAGTATGGTTGATATAAAGATTGTAGAAAAGTGGAAAAAGACTGAATGTTTTTTTTTTTTTTAAAGCAGGAAACAGAAGAGTGACCAAACCCTCAGAGGACTTCCCTCACTTTTTCTTTAAAGAATTAAAGCTGGAGGAGGAGATGTGAGATAATATAACTGCAGGCATCGGCAGTTCTTGAACAAATGGCGCCCCGGGTGAGCCCATTCCAACACCATCCAGATAGTAGCTAATCTACATAAGGTGCTTCTGAAGCTGAGGTGTGATTCCAGAAACAGTGAAATGCAACTTTTTGTGTTTAAACAACAGAAGAAAGGGTTGACATAAATCTTACATGCTGTTTGAATCATCTTTGATTAGTGAGGAATAAGTCGGTTAATATTTACACAATCTAGATACTTTGGTTTGACATCTAGAGATAATAAGATACAGATGACTAAAAATAGAATATTGTCTATATCACCTTTGCATCACATTTCTAATCCAATGTAGATTTTCATTTCTTGGTGTTTGACTATGTTTTTTTTTTTTTTTTACATTGCACACAACATAGAGGATTGTCCTCTTCCTGTTGACTTGATATGCAAATAGGCAATAGAAAAAAAAATTGGATAATAGCTAATGGATTATTTAGAAAATGTTTTTGCAGTCCTCGTGCAGCTTACAGCCTCACCACCCAGGGTAGCATAGATGGATGATATTGGGATGGATGGATGAATGAACAGATGAATGAATGAATGGATAGACGATAGATGGATGGATGATAGGTGGATGATAGATGGATGATAGATGGATACATGGATGGATGATGGACGGATGATGGATGGATGATGGACGGATGATGGATGGATGGATGGATAGATGGATGATGGATGAATACATGGATGGATGGATGGATACATGGATGGATGATGGATGGATGATGGATCAATACATGGATGGATGGATGGATGGATAGATGGATGATGGATGAATACATGGATGGATGATGGATGGATGATGGATCAATACATGGATGGATGGATGGATGGATGGATGATGGATGGATACATGGATGGATGGATGGATGATGGATGAATACGTGGATGGATGGATGGATGGATGGATGGATGGATGGATGGATGATGGATGGATGATGGATGGATGATGGATGAATACATGGATGGATGGATGGATGGATGGATGATGGATGGATGATGGATGGATACATGGATGGATGGATGGATGATGGATGAATACGTGGATGGATGGATGGATGGATGGATGGATGGATGGATGGATGAATGGATGGATGGATGAATGATAGGTGGATAGATAGACGGTAGATGGATGATGGATGGATGGATTTAAATCTTATCCCTTTTCTTATCATGTAGTGGTCAGCCTGTTTTATCAGAACCTGGAACACTAGCCTGGAGTAACCAAACAGAAGCTTAATAAATTACCAGTTATTGTAGATCACCAATTTTCTTTTGACATCTTACCAAGATAGGAAACTCCCTCCTCTGGAGTAATGGTGCCATATTTCACCATCATCTTCACAAAGTCAATCAGTGTCTTCATGATGGTGATCAGGGTTTCTCTTTCCTGAGCATCTTGATCTGGAAAACAAAGAAGAAAGAAAGTTTTATATTAGAACGGATGGATGGATGGATGGATGGATGGATGGATGGATGGATGGATGGATGGATGGATGGGTGGGTGGATGGATGGATGGATGGATGGATTCATCTAATATATTCACTGGAGTGCCTGAGTGTGTGGGTCTGCTTGTGTTCCTAACCTCCTTTCTGTGTAGGAAACCAGTGTGGACAGAAAGCTCTGACTCATCCTCTAGTCTTAAAAATAATATCCTGGGCAGAAGTTGCTATGACAAGGATTTCTTTGCATTTTATGAGTTTTTACCCGAATCAAGGCTCTTAAGAAGACGGTAGAAGTTTGGGAAGTATTGCAGGTCCTGGAGCCCATCCTCAGGGTTCACCTCGTTTCCCTCCTCTTTATCTTTATCCCAGCGATTTTCAGCTCCGTCTAAGTCTTCTTCCACATCCCTGTCCACCTCATCCACAATCTCATCGTCATCATTGCCTTCCTCTTCTTCGTCATCTTCTTCGTCGTAACGACGCCTGGGTGGCTCCCATGTGTCCTAGAAAAACACAAGTTTTAGATCCTAGAACATTCCTCTATTATGATGACATTTCTCCTCATGCTGTACCGTATCTGGACCCAGGTCATCCTGCTCTCCCCTAGACTCCTGGTTCATGCTCTCCATTTCCTCAATTTCATTATTCTTGGCATTCTTGGTGATGAGATCCTGGAGAGCCTCGGCCACTTGGTACTCCAGAGTGTCAGCCTGACTTTCAGTAATCTATAAAAAAAATAAACAATAATCAAAAGGTGTGTGATGGTTCAATCCAACCTATTGATTGGTAGAGAGGGCAAAATCAAACGGTTCAAAGTGTCAAAAAACTAATTCACAGCTGAGCTTGTGGATTCCTGAAAACAATTTACACATATGTTCATCTCGTAGCGACAGAAAAGGTTGTGCAAAGACAGACAGAGTCCGCTCCCGTAGGGAAAATGTCAAGCGACCCACTGGGCTGATTTTCAGATGGTAAGGTTGTGCTCAGAGCTTACCAGCCCCAGTTTGAGCAGCTTGGAGACGATCCTGTCAAAAACCCCTCTGTCATCCTCCTCATATATTTTGTTGGCAATCTTCTGAACAATATCCTCTGCAGTCAGCGGGGTGCCATCAACCTGCCGGAAGCTTTCTGGGTCATCTGAAAAGAGAGCGCCAAGAGAGTTTTTGATAGACATAATACTCTATTTTTTCACACTTCTAATGTTCCTTTTATTCGGCATATCACTCCAGTCCTGAGTGAAAAATGTGTAACTATAACAGCCTGACACTTGCATAACGCTGCTGCTACTTCCCGAGGTCCAAACAGTATTAATGAGCACTGCCAAGTGATTTTTTTTCCTTTTGTGAAGGTTGAATCATACTTTTCCTCCCAGCTATTTTTGGCTCTTTTGAACAAAAATCTTAAATACTGAGCTTGGTAAATGTGTAACTGGGAAAGAAAAGCCGTGTGTCACTACTGAAATGATTGCAGGAACAGAGGAAGTGTAGCACTCAGTGAGTTGAGTCTGATTCAGATCACTTATATGAGAGCTTGTGGTCAAATTACATGCATTAAGATGTTTTAACACTTAAAATGATATGTGTTCAGGTTGCTCTTAAATAACATCAACCATACATTAGCTGAAGGACTGCACTTGGTGTAATTGCAGAATAAATATTGGGAAGTAATGGGAAGAATTTAAAGCAGTATACATATTCTGTGCTTTATTAAGAACTATAAACATCAATGTCTAATATGTTTTAATCACATAAAAAGAAAATGATTGACTTTAATAACAAAGGAGTTATGAACAAAGATGAATAGAATTTAATAGTTTTTTTTTCATGCAGAGATAACATTTACACATCCCACCTCCTCTTTCTTAGTAGTTCTCAGTGATTTTCTGACTTAACAGCCTTTTTCAAGTCAACCTGCAGCATCTCAATCAAAGACGGAGCTACCATGACTTTGATTCAATCTTCATCCTGTCCTTTTTGGATTTACTGGTGTGTTTGTAGGATAACCTTGATGTTGCAGGATCTGCTTCTATTTTAATCTTTTTTTTTTTGATAAACAAAAAAGTTACAAATTTCCTTGGTTTTCCTGAGATAAATATTATTATTCATGGTTGTAGTGAGACGCTAAGCCTGTTACTGTAGTCCCAGCCTTAGCAAACCCTGCCAAAAAGGATATATCTACCTTTATCCATCCACAGAGTATTTAAATTCTAAAAACACTGCACAGTAAAGTACTTTATTTTCTGTTATTTTTATACACTTTTCTATGGCCCACATTGTGTGACCACTTTTGCCTTTGCTGCTGTAACACCACAATTTCCCTGATTGTGGAACAATAGAGGGATTTTTCTTATGCTTTTAAGTTGCTGTTTCTGGGTGAGATTTTAGTTTACACTTACTATTCTGTCTGTTCTGATCTCCGAATGTTTTAATCTTCAGTCCAGAATTCCTGATCTTAGTTTCTCTGCGAAGCTGCTATTTTCTCAGGTTTTTCTGACAATATGTGTCCTCCTTGCACCTAACATGAAACTGAAACCTGTGCAGTCGGTTTTTCATTGTAGAAAACATCCACTTTTTTCCCCTGAAGGTCTAAAGCTCCTCAGACGAATCATGTTTCTTATCATGTGCATCGAACATGATATATCCATGTGGTATTTTAAGTAGAAATAATGGTAATGATAATTATACATGTTAAAACACAGCGACTATAATAGTGTTCTTTTTTTTCATATAATGTGAACATAAAGACCCATCACAAACTTTCCTGCAGTGTGAAAGAGGACGGACAGAGCAGAGCATCAGCTTTCCCCTCATCAGAGTAGAGGAAGAAGGGGATAATCTGTTTCTGCTGGATTCACGTGTCCTGTCTCTGACTCTCTGGCTGCTCAGCTCCATTATAACCACGTGTTTCCTCGGCCTACTCTTTTTTAAAATGTCTGCCTGGTGGCCTGCCAGCAGCAGAGAGAAGTATCCAGGATGAGGCTTGTTCTTAGTGATGAGAGGGAACAAGCCAAACAACTCTGACTGCTTATTGTGTCACTACTAGAGACAAGTGCAGCATTTTTTTTTATTTTATTTTGAGTGATGGATGAAAGATGAACTGTGTTACGGTGCTTGAATCAGCAATTTTCTTTGAGAACCTAGAAAAAGAATAAAGTGATTGTTGAGTGTTAGTACCCTGGTACTTGCTGTAGTCTATGCCGCTCTTGGTGGAGTCGTAGTCGTCAGCCAGGCGTCGGCTCTTCGTCGAATCGGATTCATCAGGGACATACTGATCCTCCTTCCTGACTGCCGCTTCTAGAGCTTCTTTTGACTTCTGGCCATCAGCCAGAGACTTGAGCAGGGTGAAGTCGTCACCCTGCTCTGACTCTCTGTCCTTGGAGCCCGCGGGTTGTTTACTTTCTGTAAGGACGCAAACGCAAACAGAGTGACGCTCAAGGTTGAATAATGGTGCATATGATGACTCTTTTACTGGAAAGGCTGCAACCTAAATCAGCGCAGCAGGCGGAAACACAGTCATCAATTGATTAGCAATGAGGTGTCCTCTTACCTGCTGACTGTACTGCAGCCTTTACACTGTCTGCCTCTGCAATCTGGGGAAGGACAAACATCAAACAATTGATTGTTGCTCAGGATATAAGCTCTGATTATTAATGTTTGTTGGGCTAAAAAGAGCCTGTTTGACAAGCAACCATAAAACCTACTCGGCCGGATATTAAAGAAAAGGTAAACTAGCTGTGGGAGGTGGAGGAAAAGGGACCTACCTGTTCCTGTAAAGGTCTTTCCTCCGTCAGCTGTCTGTTGTACACAGTTTTATCTGCAACAGAATCAATGCATTAGGTAATCAAACCGCTGTTTGAAAGCAGAATACATTAGAGATCAACCACAAAGATACTTTGGTTAATTTATCCAATTAGTTTTTACAACAAACAAACTTAAATCAATTTAAAATAGATTTTAAAGATACTTCTGCAAAATTGACCTGTCAGACTGATGTGATCTGATGGGTTTCTGCCCTCCTAACTCTCCACCAGAGGCAGAACTTAATCGGATTATCAAACAAAAGATTAAACTGTGGCGAAAATAGACCACAGGCGGCCTAAAGAGAGGGAGCGCATTAAAAACACCACCAGCCCTTATTCAGTTAGAGGACGCTTTTAAAAAAATAAATAAATAAAAAGATACTGCTAGTATATATATATATATATATATATATATATATATATATATATATATATATATATATATATATATATATATATATATATATATATATATATATATATGTATATATATATAGGCCTATATGAGCAGAAAAAAATCTCTGTAACTTTTATCTTTATGCTAGAACTTTATGTGGTCCATGCATCTATTTCACGATACTTTTCTAGGTTTTTGTAGAAATCTTAATTTGAGTGTGCATATGTGCCCCAGTTCTCTGAAACTCACCATCCAATGAGGCTGTAGGTGTGGGGAGGGCAGATGTCTGGATCACTACATTCAGAACAAGAAGCTGGAGAGGAACAAAAAGGCCAACGCGTTTGGACGCCATCCTGAAGCAATCTGCCACGGAGCGCGCAGGAGATTGTTTTTACCTCCTGTTTGGAGCAAAGCAAAAGGTGCTGAATGTTTGGACAGCTCCTGTCCCGGTGCTGAAACTGCCGCGGAAAGGCTGCGCCTTGGGGGGCGCAGAGAGGGAGGGTCTGTCTGTCAGACTCGCAAAGCGGGTTCCGGTCGGAAGAAATGATAGCTGCGCTCCCGGAGCTGTTGACGCACGGCGATGCTGAAACCAGGTCAGCTGTCTAATTAAAAGCAGATAAGCAAGGAGGCTGTTCCAGCCCCGTGTGAGCTGCAGCATCACCTGCCAAGGCTGTAATACAAGCCACTACAACAAGACCTGGCCCCCTCATCAGGGAGGAAGGGGAGGAGACGCTGGAAACAAAGGAGGAGGAGATGAACACTGCAAGAAGAGCGCTCAATCTCACCTTTTATTCCAGCAACATAAAGATAATATAAATTGATTTAATTCCAATTTCGATTTTGAATGAAATACAATAAATGACGCAAAAAATACCGCAAACAACGCAAATCAGGTTTGAAAGATCAACAGCTAATACCACCAATAAATGCATTGCACTTAAATAAGGATTAAAAAGAATAAAACGCATTACTACTACAATATCGTAGGTACTTTTTATTATGGAGTTGAAATTCCATGCAACTATACCTAATTAGCTGAAGGGAATATTTTTTGCAGCGTTTGACAAGAATAGAAATAAAAAAACGCCCATTTCGTGCGTCACGGTTAATCTGCGTCATGTTTGTAAATCTTTCCCTGAATGGTCAATAGCAACCGCTGTAAAAAGGGCAATTAACCACATAAACAAAGAGAAACATAAATAAAATCGGAGTTCTGGGTGCTTTGATTTAATGAGCTTTTTTTTAAATTAATGGTCATTTTTAGGGGCTCTCTGACATCAGAACAAATTTGATTAGTTTCCATAACCTCATCATTTAACTGAAGCTTTCAACAATAAGGAAATGTTAATTACATATTTTCTTCCATATATTTTAAAATAATGTAATCTAATATTAAAAATAGCTGTGGTGAAAAATTGGTAATCTTCAACATGATTATTTTCTAAATGATATTAATTAATTCTCCCTGATAGAAATAGTTAGATGTCTAAAAGGATCATGATGGCTCAAGTTTAACACAACGGGACACTGATCTGCTGTTGGTTTGATTAACCAGCCTGAGGCATAGCTTTAGCAAGCCATTCTTAGTAGTTATATCCACTTAAAACCCTCTAATTTAGCAAGAACATTTGGTTTTCTGCTTGTTTGTATCCACTCTACAATGAAAGCTCAATTGAATTTAGTTTGATGCTATTTGGACTAAGGTCCATTAGACTTTTTTTTAGCACTTTGTTGCCCCCTTTAAGTTGATCTTGTTTAGTTTGCTGGACCTGGGCATGTTGAGAGTCATATTGAATGTAACCCTCTCTCTTTAGGCCTCAGACTCTTTGACTATATAAAAAATAAAAGCTATTTTAGATCGCAAGAAAAATTGAACTACTGTAAATAAATAGTTTTTTATATAATACATTCTTACCTTTTTTTTTAATACAATTTGAATACTACAGAACTGTTAAAGTTCAAATTAAATGTCTACATAAAGATAAATTCTTATGTCAGCAAAGTTGTGATTTTATGCAACATAAAACATAGGCTTCCATTGTTCATTCAATGGAAATATATCAGGGTTCAGTTTTTATATGCACTTAGTGTCAAGTTCAGAAGAGGTTGTGGTGGACCCAAATGCAAATATGGAAGCTGAGGTGGTTTCTTGCAGATTTAATAATTCCAAACGTGACAAGTGAGGCAAAAATCCAAAAATAACAAAATACAGAAAACCAAAAACTAGAGGACATCAGGGTAAAAATACAAAAAGATCAAGAAACTACGAGGAACCTGCAAACCGTAACTGAAGAGAAGGAGTAATTATGTCAAACAGAACAAAGTATGCAGTAATCAACTGATTGGGAGCAGGTGTGGACAGAGGGATCTAGAATGGAGCTAGGGGAAAGGAGACTGACACATAATAAACAAGAAATACATAAGAACTCAAATCCAACCAGAAAACACCACAAAATGGAAAGGAAACCAATAAACTACAAAATACAGAAAGACATGAATCAACTGAAAACTTAAAAACGTAACAGAACTGAAAAGGTCAGAATCATGACTGAGTTCTGAATTGCATGTTTTCATGGGTGTTCAAATGGAAAAAAGTCGCTCCTCTATACGCCTTCACAAGCAGGCTATTTTGATTGGAGAACGTTATCTGCAGTATTAAGGGAAACGATTTGGATCATGTGGTCCTTCACTGATGTTCCTTGGATTTATGAGGGCTTTTTGTGAGATTACAGTGCATAGCTGAATTCATTTCCTTTGGCTGCAGAGTTTTAATGTATCTGATCTACTTCTTAGGCTTTTTTGGAGGAAATAAATTCTTCTGATGACCTACTTTAAGGTTTTCCTGGTAGTATTGCCATGTATTCATTCACACTGAGCCTGGTTAACATCAGGCTTGTCCAGCAGAGCTTTGTGAAATATGTCTCATTACACAGATATTTATCTTAAGAAAATGCGAATATATAATTCTGATCCACTGTGGAAAATGAGTAATTTTGTAATTAGTCATTGTTTTTTGATATTAGTGATCTTTGAGTAGATTGTGATGCGGATCTGTTTCTGAGCAGTGGAGAAAGGGGTGTTGGCCTCATTTTGTTCAATGACTATGCTTCCTTCTTTCTGCTTATCTCAGCAACCTTGAAAAACACAAGTCTTGCCAAAATCAGAAATCAAAGAGCTTTATCTGAGATTAAAGTGCAGCAGATACTCAGTCTACTGGGTCTAATGGAGGCTAAAAATATCTTGCAGTCATCCAAAATCAATGCTAAAAAGCTGCAGTGATCTTTGGAGCTATTTGTATTTGGACTAGATATTTTTAAATATATTGACCTTAATTTATCTCTTTTATTTCCTAAAGGATTCCTTTTTATTTCTTAGTTCAGTCTGAGGGTTTATGTTGTTCAATACTGACACCTGGTGGGTGAGATTGTAATTACAGCCTCTTCGTTTCAGAATTATCTCGTCAAAGCAACATTAAAAATTTATGAAAGAAAGCATAGATAAATAAATGCAAGCAAAAATATAATCAAAACCAAACAAAAATACTAATAAATAAAGTACACAAGTCAAGCAAAGTTTGTTATTTAGCCCATTTCAGAAGCAAGTGATAGATAGAAACATGATAGAAACAATCAACATAAATCGGGAAGAAATCTTAATTTCCACCAAATCCCCCCCAAAAAACTCTGAGATTCTATGCATATATGCGTTTTTTTTTTGTGTTTGTTGTTGTATATTATGATATTTCATAAATCAGAATATGTGTCCATACGTAAGATTCAAAGTACTTTTTTAAGTACCTAAATAAAGGTCAGAATTCTTTATCCTGAGCTATCTCTATAGTTATGCTGCTATAGGCTTAGACTTCTGGAGGACATAGGGACCTCCATCTCACCATTCTGCTTCATTCTATCTCTATTCTCCCACTTTGCAGAATCTATTAGTTCAATCTCTGACGTTCTGCTCTCTCTGCTTTTTCTCATAGTAGCTTTGCCTCGTCTGTTCCTGTTTGGCTGTGACACCATCGTGGAGAGAAATATCAGCTGTGCTGCTGCCATCAACACCCTTGCTTATAGATGTTGGAGATCGGCCTGTTTTCCAGTGTAGTCCCATTTGTCTGACTGTGACTGGCTGGATGTGCTATCTTCATCCTCTGACATGGGAGCTTGCTCGGACCTCGTCTGCCTGGCTGTGTTTACTGGACGTTTTTCCTCTCCACTGTCGCTAAAAGCATGCTTAGTGTGAGCAATTGTCTTCGAGACAATGAGTCAATGCAACCAACTGGTTTTCCTTAGATAAAAAAACTTTGAATCAATTTGACCGTATGATCTGGTTGAATTGTAAAGTGCCTTGAGATGACATGTGTTGTGAATTGGCGCTATATAAATAAACTGAATTGATTTGAATTTATTATCTCAGAGGGGAAATTTGTCATACAACTGCAGCACAAACACATCCATAGACAACAATAAGTAAAATCCTACAGCGATTGATTAAGAATTGCAATTGCAACAGAAATAAAAAAGGTGTTGTGCCTTTTGTCCTGCATTTAAGGACAGTGAGTGTGCAACCAGATGGGAGGGGTTTGCTGTGGATGGCGATTTCTGTGTTACAGTTTTTAAAACATTTAACCCATATACATGCATTCAGATTTAAAGCAGAAGACACAAAGACAGCAATGAGAAAAATAAAAATAAAGAAATGGTCAGTATAACAACAAACAGTAAAATCATGCATTCTCTAATCTTCAAGGTAATGTGCAGATTTTCTAAAGATTCATGCTGAACAACTTCGTAAAACGGCTTTAATAGATGATGTACTCTGCAAAAAATTGATATCTAAATAAGTAATTTTTCTAAAAATATGTGCATTCGTTTTTGAATTGAGCAGGTAACTGAGAGACACTGGAGTTCCATTTGCCAATGGAACAAGAAACATTACATTATATTTGAAATAAGAAAAAAACTATCTGATTATCTTATTTCAAGGGCATATTATTTAACTATCTTAGTTTAAGAGTAAAAATACTCATTCCATTGGCAGATCATCTTATAAATACACTTAACTTAAGAAATGTCGACTGATTTTTAGATCGTTTTTTTACAGTGTAGGTGTCTTGATGATAAAGAGAGACTGTGCAAAAGGATGGTTCAGACATCACTCTGCACAGCTCCGACCTTGTGAACGGATACAATAAGGAAGTGCTGTCTACTACTGTAAGGTAGAGTTAGCTTTCTTCCACTTTTATGTAAAGCATTAAAAACTTGGTGGATGCACTTTTGTCTTAAAAAATCTTATTTCATCCAATGAAACCACTAGGTCTCATGCCAGAGCTACTGAATACTAGCTCAATCCAAGTCCAAATTAAGATGTGAACCAAACTGACTATTTTTATTAATTAATTAATGTTTTTGTTTTGTTTTCCTTTCTCTTGGTAAAATGTTTTCGAGGAGTTGAGATTGTCATGGAGGGATACTGCTCGGTAACGCAGTGGGTAGCACTGATGCCCTTGCAGCCAGAAGGTTTATGGTTCGATTCCCGGCCAGGGGTCTTTCTGCATGGAGTTTGCATGTTCTCCCTGAGCATGCTTGGGTTCTCTCCGGGTACTCCGGCTTCCTCCCAGAGTCCAAAAACAAGACAAGTTAGGTTAATTGGTTAATCTAAATTCTCCTTAGGTGTGAGCGTGTGTGTGTGTGTGAAT